TAAAACACATGTCGGCAAACGATGACGAGACAAATAGAGGGAAGGTGATAGTCATAAGCGCCAGCAACAAAATGGTCAGAATCAATTCCTTTTTGTGGGAGACTGTATATCCGCCAGGAAAACTATCAAGGTTCCAAAACTGCCCGTGTTTCCAGCCAGGTTCCCTTTGCCAAATACAAGTTGTTCTGCAAACAAGCTTCTGCTGCTCGAGTCGTTAGCTCCTACCCTGAACTGGCGAGGAATGCCCTGACGGGTCAAGTATATACCTGTTAACCAGAGGTAGGCTTGTTTCAGACATTTGCCGGCGCATAGGTATCCTGGAAGGAGATTAACATACAAGGTCCGAGTCTGGGTTTGTTTGTTGAAACGACTTGGCTTACCTCAAGGTAGGCACGTCGAAGACGGCAAATAGAAGGGTTGCCAGCTTGCTTCTCCCGGTCTCAGCCGCTTGACCATCGCTCTACTTTGCACATATATACTCACAACTCTTCACCATCATCGACTTTCTCATAGGGCACACACTCTCTCATCCATCCTTGCTAGTTGGGCATCCTGACGGCGTAAAACCAGCCCTCGTCGGTGACGTACCATCGGCAGTCACCGAGGTGGTCAATAGTAAACCGGTTGCGCTGGGTCCAATTACCGTCAACTTCGCGAACATAGTAGAAACGAGATGGATCGTCATCCGACGGCTTGAACTCTTGGGGCTCGAACAACTTGTTCGCATGTGCAAACTGGAGCTGTCGCACCGTCTCCTCTGCTGGAGTCTTCCCGAGACCAAAAACATCGGGGATTTGGCCATTACCTGCATAGACGGGCATGCCGCCGGCGCCGGGCATTCCCATCGGAGGAACAGCGTGCACTTGCTGGACAGGGATTGCAGCAGAAGCTGGTTGTCCGCCAATCATGACAGGCTGCTGGCCGACGAAGGGCTGCGGGACGACGGCAGGCTGCTGGGCAACAACGTAGCTGGGCTGAGCGACTGGGACGCCAGTAACAGTCGGTTGCTAGAGATGGAAATGTTAGCACCGTGACCGACAAGAGATGAAAGAGACGAAAGAGCAAAGATAGAGCATGGGATGGAAGAGGTATTTTCAAAAGGTAGGCAGCGTTAAAGAGTCCTGCTTGGACAAGCCAGCCATTCCGGAACAGAAGGAGCATCATGAGGGTTCAGCATGATTGGCTCCGACAAAAGACACAAACAAGGGACCAACCCGAGTGAAACTTGCATAGTAGGTGTAGCCGTTGTAGTAATATGTCTTTGGCGTCACGACGGTGTACGTGGCAGTGGACATGGGCGCGGCAGTGACTGGGCGGGAAACAAACTGTACCGAGGGGAGACCGACTTGAACAGCAGCAGGCATGTAACCCCCGTCAAAGCGAGGCACGTAGACGTGCGGGATCGGGCCAAACGTCGTGTCAGGCACCGGCGGCTGGAAGTTGACACCCGTATGCATGGGCGCTGCGTTCTGGTAGTCTGCCATGGCGATGGGGCTTCCGATGTAGGTGATGGGCGCGGTGGTAGGGAGGGAGGCGTGAGGCTGGAGCTGCACAGAGATTTGGTGGTGATGTTGTTGTTGCAGAGGAGAGAACGGGCCGGCAAACAGCTGGGGGTGCAGCTGGAAGGGTGACGCGCCAGGGCCAGGACCAGCGCCAGGTGCTGCAAAGCCGGCAAACGGCTGGCCAGGCAACTTGACGCTCTGCGTGGGATCAGCAGCTGTGTGCCACTGGCCAGCGCCCAGAGTGCTGTAAGGCGGCGCACCGAGCTGCGGGAAGCTGTCGGGCTGGTTGCTGGACGAGGTTTCGCCAGTCGAGGCCGAGGCTGGAGCTGCGGCAGTGGTGGTGGGAGGATTGGTGGTTGAGTTGGTGGTGGAGGAGATGAAGGGAGAAGCGGGCGACGAAGAAGCAGCAGCTGCGGCCTTGAGGGCTGCTGCGTTGCTGGCGGGCGTCTGGAAGCGCACCTGGCGAAGAGGCTCGGAGCCTGCAGACCGTGGTAGTAGGCGTCGGGGGGCCTTGGGCGACTTGGGATCCGGTGCAGCTTCAGGCATTGCAGCAGCAGATGTAGAGCAGGCTTGGTGATGCAGATAGAAGAGATGAGATGAGGAGGAAAAGGAGGTGGAAAAGAGAAGAGAGAGGAAGAAAAAGAGAAGTGGGCAGAGAGTGAGGCCAGAGCTGCGAGCCGGTGCTGCTGGCCAACGGGCTGGCAATTCACTCCCATCAGATGAAAACAGCTGCCAGTCCGTCTGTGTGGGCTCTTCAAGGCATTCATCCACGCTATGGGAGTTTCAGGGCTGCCATCACAGCTAACTGTTGAAGTCGTTGCTTTCAACGAGACCTGGAGCTGGACAAAAAGGGGGGACATCATGACAACTCACTCGAGAAACTCCAAGGAAACGCAACGAAGAAATATTGCATAGCAAATGATATACCAAGGAAACAAAACTCAACACTCACATATCGCTGAAGAGACCACGCCTGCCCGTCATGCACCCACACATGCTGCTCCGGCATCGAGTCCAACGGATCCTCGTACTCGGTCCACGTCCACGGAAAGCAAGGCAGACACATTCTCCTCGATCCGAAGCAGCGAAGAAGAAACAATTAACCTTCAGGGTTCCGGGATCTGGATAGATGATATCTTGCAAGAAGAGCCAAGGTGAAAGCCTAGAGGGCTTGAGGCGTCTGTAATCGTCGTTTGTGGGTTTTTGTGGTTTGTTGTTATTGTGTTTTTTCCACAAGGGCGAAGAGTAGGGGATGGATGTAGAAGGGAAAAGCGTTGACTTTTTACTTGAATGCGGCTTGTCGTAACTGGGTTCGACTATTCGACTCTTGGCCTTGACTGTGTTATCCTGTTTGCTTTGGGTTTGCATAATGGACAATAGATTGCTGGGCATGACAATCAATAGATCCAAAGGCCATAGAGTTCCCCCTTTCAGCCCCTCGGAAGATTCCTTTCCCAGTCACGGCATTCACTTTCTTCATTAAACTGCCTTTAGACGATTTGATTCGGATGGTTCGAACTGTTACTTACAAACATACAAGGCAGTAGCCCCCCCAGTTACAGGTATCTCTCGCGTCCATCTCATCAGCCCAAACAGTAAACATCGTAGGGCACAGCTGCAATTCGAGGCACTTTTCGCCGCGTGCTTGCCCAAATCCCACTTCAGCCCATACACGCATTTTCAATCCAAACTTGGAATTCATGACCAGACGCCCCCAGCCTATAAGGTCTAAATGCTTCGCTGACCGGTTACCCGATATAATGTACAGTTCAACTTTGGGGAGGAGAGATCATCTATCGCCACCACACTGCCGTGCCTTTTCTTTTCTTCCCTTGCTTCCGTCCAATCTTCCGTGACGCGGTGGCACTCGGCTGGAGGAGGCGCTCGCTCCCAGATTCCCTTTTGTGCTTTCCATGCCCTCCCCCCAGTCAAGCGCCTTTTCCATCTTTTGGAACCGTTATTTTCCCCTCCTCGTTGCCCACTCTTGTGTGGTAGATCAAACAGCGGATCGCGCGTCGTCGGAAGAGCCCTTTTTCACAATGGTATTCGTTACATGATGTTGTTTGCTATATTATT